ATCATCTATATATATATTTTTATAGCAGTTTGTAAACCCACCGCTGGATGAAGATGTCTCCGGATAGTGCGAGTCATGGCAGTTGTTACTGGTAGGAACCTCCTGGTTACACCAGCCCACAGGGGATTATTGTGTCCGTCGTGTAGGGAGGGGCTGGGTGTGGGAGGGGCTGGGTGAGGAGGGTGGGGAGGGGCTGGTCACCCCGTGGTGCCCTTATAAAACTCAACGTTTAACCTACTCACGCCGGCTTGTGCCCGCCCTCACAGTCGGACATATTTGCGGAATACACCACGCCGCCGTTGACCATGGCCATTGACCGAGCAACCCAACGTTCCTACCAGCTCCCTCCGCAGGAATGTGTTTTACTATTCTTCACGACACTGGTCAGTGCTGGTTGGTGTAGGGGTTGGCCCAGGACCAGTTATCACTCGCAAATGATGTTGACCGTGGCCCGGAATGGAACTTAGGTTACCAGTTTCATAGTGGAGTGTTCCAAGTCCTAACTACTGAGCCACCACAACCCCCTGCTAATTAATGTTATCTTCGAAAACAACTTTGTTATCTTCAAAATACAGAGCTTTACATTGTGACATCAATGCACACATTGTCATATGGCTAAATATAGCAACAGCATTAGCATTTCTTAAAACAGATGACGGTACAACACAGTGAACCAAGAAAAAACTGAAGATAAAATGCCAAGTTGAAATACATCTCAAATGGAATTAGCAAAAAACTGGATGGGGAAATCTTAGCACAAGTTATTGGGCAAAATGTTTTGTTTCATTTTAAACAGGATATGATCTCACCAAACGATTTTATTTTTAACTAACCAAAAACACTGCCCTCCTTCCTATGATAATAATAGCTTTCAGGCCTTCATCAACCCACTCCGGGAGGAAGGCCTACCCCATACGATTTCAGTCATGGGGAGCATTTTTTTTTACCATACTTCACCATGCTAGTGCATGATGGTGAAGGTTCACGGGTACCCAGGAATGATTAAGATTGTACCCGCTACTGATGTTTGCCTTGGCCACGAATCGAACTTAGGTTGCCAGTTTTGAAGTGTAGCATGCAACACGCTGCACAAGAGCTCCACGTCACTTAGTATATACCGTACTGTATATACCGAGCATGTAACAATGCATTGATTTATCAATTAAAACTGGTCCTAGCGTGCACAATACATGCATAGAATCATGCGACATGCTTGACTAGATGTGTATGCCTTGTATGTAATGGATTCACGTGATGCCTACTGCCACTGGAGGCTGCTACATTCACAATAATAGAAAAAAAAACATATTCTTGAATCCAACCGTATGTATGTTTAACTTATTTTGCACCTGAATCTATACAATTAATTTGATTGCAAGGGGTGGTGTAGGGGTAAATTGTTAAATGCCGAGTATGTACCATAGAACATATATATCAACATTCAATATAAGCTACGGATTATCTATTTAATTACACATTTAGAAACTACAAATGCGTCCGAGGGGACATTAATCTAGGAGACAGAGCAAAGAACTCGGTATGTGAGCAGGTACTAGATGGATTATTAATTCGCAGGATCGCGAGCTATTGCTTGGTGTGGCCTTCAGTCAGCAGGGAAGTGACCATGGCTTGTGATGATGATGATGATGAGAACGATGAATTAATTCTTGTAACGCTCATCTCTTAAAAGTAAACATCCATTGTGTCAGGCACACGTATGACGACCACCCTGACGACTCTAAGCTCCTTCGCTTTGATGCTGTCGAGCGAGCAAAACGGACATGATTTAACCAAAAATGAGATCGACGTTTGACCCCTGGGGCAATACCGAGGATGAGAAACGATTGGGTCAGGCACCTGCTCGGGCAAAGAGAAGCAACAGCGAGGCCGACGTGCGGAGACTCGTGGGTACGCAAAGAATGTGCGAGCAAGAAGAACGCAGGAAGAATTCCCCTTCACAGTTGAAACCGAACCCCCCGCCAATAACTTGTGGTTTACACATTAATATTATTTACCAGCCACAGTTTGAATGCAATTGCATAGCCTATAACGTGCAGTTGAATATGTATTACAAATTCTAGATTTGAAGCTTTCGTGACTGCAAGGATTCATACTCTTAGGTTTTTTCGGTAAAGTCACGTAGGTAAAAAATGACAATTAAAAGTTAATAAAAGTAATAATGGAAATAAAATAAAATAATAAATCACGACGTTTCGGAGGCAACACAAGTCTCCGTCATCAGGAGGGACCGTCACAGCTAAAATTACTGCATCAAGATTACAAATCTGTATAACTAACAATCCTCTATTTACCCACGAAAGTGTCGATTAATTTACATCTGTTTACACTTTCCATGGTATTGTTTGTTGGTTTGGTGAAAAAGGTGATTATAATACTGTACTGTGCAGTCAAATATATCCAAGGATCTTTCCCAGCAAGGGTCATGTTTGGAATCTTTGCGAAATTAAGTTTTGAAGATTATGGGTATTTTTATTTGTATGTGGGGGTCAAACCAGTCGTCTTGGAAAAAGGCAAAACATGTGATGGGATGCCACTCAAAAATATAGCGGTGTCCATGGAGGTACAATTCATTATTAATGAATGGTAAACAGAGGTTTGAAAAACATGGTTAACATTTTGGCAACCTATTCCTTATACAAGTATTATATACTTAAGGGTTTTTTATTTACTGAAAAGCTTCATGGATCTTAAACAGCACATGAAAGAAAGAAATTGAAACAATGACAATTGAGATGTTTGTAAACACCCGGGCCTCTGAGGTCTCAATATTATGTCCCCAACATCATAGCGGATATGTGGATGTTTCCAGTGATGACAAAAAAATTACAATAAAACCCTCATACCACCAAGTGAGTGTGCGTGGTGTTGTTGAACCCAACTCAAACCGTTGTCAGATCACAATGATTTAATTCTGACAATATCTCGACAGTGAACCATAATATCTTGCCGATCTTGTCTCGCAGAGACTTTTGGCTCAGCCAACGATCAAAGACGGTCCCTGCATTGTGCACTTTCAGATGCGCTTCTGCAGGCCGTCTGGAACGCTCTTCCTTCGGATATAATAGGAAGCCACTGGAGCTATGCACTTTTAAGCCATGTAGATTGATAACCCATTTCTTTACAACTGCGGTTTGTGTTTAGTTTGTTGTCCTTTGCCCGCACCGCCGATTAGCGCGGTTGTATATGTACAGTGCGAAAGGAGTTCAACATACACACCGTGTGTATGAGAAGGCGAAGTGTAAAAGTGCATCCCTCAAATCGCTTTACTCGTGGCCACTGCTGGCAGAAGGCCCTCCACTCAGAGAGCTCGAGAGGGCCCCTCCAGAGGACAGCCAACCGTACTCGTCCACACTATTCAGCTAATAGCTTCACTTCTCTGAAAGGATTGGTTTTTCCCCACTTAAGTAATGCTGAGGCGATGGAATATAGCCAACAGGTGAAGGGACCTTAATTAACCCAGCATTTTTTGTCAGGACAACTAACGCATGAATACTTTACGCACTCACGTCTTACCTGTGGCAATTGCGCGTGTAGGTGGTGTATGGAATTTACGCACAGGTGGTACCGCTCTATTAAACTTGATGCCAAAGGGCAAAACGGCCCGTCATGGAACAGAACGCAGTTTTGGGGATAAAGCAAACACTGTATAAAAATCAAAAAAATTTGTATTTTCCTTGACAACAAAAAACGTAATATCCGCTACATTTGGTAAGGTGCCGCGCTGGTGTTTAGAGAAGTGAGAACAGATGCCCCTTGTGGTACTGCATAATTTAAATTGTTCCGTGTCCCTGACGCATCCCTTCACACGCCATCTCTCCCATGCGTTCTCGGGTCGACACACGGCATGTTGTTCGGCGCAATGTCCGACGTTTCGTTCCCCGTGCTGGGAGCTTCTTCAGGAAAGGGGCCGTCCATAAATGACGTCACGCGATTTTGAACGATTTTTGACTCCCCCCCCCCCCCCTCGTCACACGGCGTCACAAAAAGTCAGACCCCCCCCCCCCTAAAATATGACGTCACAAAGCTTTGCCCCCCCCCCCCAAATAAAACATGCTTCAAATCGCTTTAAACTATTGCCATTGTAGTGCGTATTTAATGTGGCGCTTCACTCTGATGTTGTAGGAGAAAACATTTATTTAAAAAGTCTATTTAATTAAGTAGAACGTGTTGTCTTTATTCATTTAAAGTTGCACATTTTGATGTGACGTCACATTTCTCAACCCCCCCCCCCCCCTCGTCACACATCGTCACAAATGTCTGACCCCCCCCCAGGTGCGTGACGTCATTTATGTACGGCCCCAAAACGCGAAATCCACAACATGCCAGCTGCTTTTACTAGCGGCCACATTTACAAGCGAACCTCTCAGTTAAACAAGCTGAAGAAACAGCTCTCTCCCAACAACGGCAGGCGGCTTGTACAAACGCCACGGTTTACAACGTGTGCATGCGCGTGTGTGTGTGTATATAGGTCTATGAGAGTGACACTTTAAAGCGAGTTCAGTGAATAATGAACAACCAATGAGATCTATGGCGCGGCAATCAACACTAAACGGACATAAAGTGTAAGAAAGAAAGGAAATGAAATGCCCTAAGAGGGAAAACAAAAACAAATATACTTGGTTCTTTCGGTAAAGCCACGTAGATAGAAAATACAAATAATACAATTAAAAATAATGTAATTATTTGCAATTTATTATTTATATTTTTACTTTTTAACTTTAATTTTATTACTTTTATTTTCTATCTCCGTGACTTTTCCGAAAGAACCAAGGATACGAATTCCTGCAGTCACGAAAATTTTCAGTCAATATTTAAACCATAAACAAGTCAGCTAGTTTGGCCCATTGCCGAGTATTGTTCCCATTGAGTACAGAGTCTCGGGCAAGGCAGCGGTCCAATCTACTCGGGTGAGCCACCAGAAGCGAGCTCATTGTGGACAACGTGGAGGAAAGTTGTCACCCGTCAACCCCGAGCCTCACCTGACGACAGCAGCAGCAGCAGCGCCTCCCCGTCAACTTCAACACGACCAGACGATCTTCCTCCTCCTCTCTCTCTCCGCCGCCGCCGCCGCCCCAGCTCTGTGGGCTCCCCACGCACCCCTAGCTCTGGACCATGGCTCTCGGGCAAAAGTGACGGCGGGAGAAATCCGTCGACCCCTCAGCTTCTCGCACGTTTCGTTTCCCCTCTCGCGAGCCGAGCCGAGCAGCGCTCCCCCCTCCTCTTCCTCCTCCTCTCTCTCCTTAAATCCTCGGACGCTGCCAAAACTGAGCCGAAGAAGCCGACGCTGCCGCTGCTGCTGCTGCCTGAGAGGAGACGACCACGGTACAGCAACAACACACACGGGAGAGAGAGAGAGCAGTGGCTCGGTTGCAGTCTCCACCACCACCACCACCCCCACACACACACAAACTCCGCTACGTCACAGACGAGTGAAGTCGGGTGGAGTGGGTGGGGACCCCAAACAACTCGCTTGGGCCTCTCTGACTTGCACGGCTTGTTTCAGCACAGGTGGGGCGCCCTTAAGTCAATTCTCTCTCCTCTCTCCCTTGCACACCCCACAACTCTCCTCCCTCCCCCTCCCCCCCACACGCCCCTTCCTTCGTCCTCCATCCCCTTCTCTCGCCACGACACTTCCCCGCCAAGTCTCTCTCCATTCTCTCTCGGGCATGTAACAAAGACAAAGTCACAGCTCCCCGCGTATAGCCTGCACAGACTTTCGGGGCAAGTGCTGTTAGAGAGCACCTACGAAGGCCGGAACGGTACACGAGGGGGTGGGTGGCTAGCACACCACGCCCGACCGCCTTTGTGTCTCCAGTAGCGATGCTTACACACCGCACCGGGTATTCATTTGAGGCTGAGTCGACCTAGGGGAGGCCCTGGACCGGTTCAGATAATCGTCACCGGTGTTGGCCGTGAGCGGGAATCGAACACGGGTCGCCGGGTTCGTAGAGGAGCGTAGCGCTAACCACTACACCACCGCTCCCCATGCATCTAACACACACGCGCACTCTGTCTCTTACTGGCCCACTTCTCTGTGTGCTTCTGGGCCACGCTCAGCAGGCACCAGTTAGCAGTGCTGCGCTGTGGATGCTGAGCCGTGCGTGCACAGGGCATTCTTGTGTCAATGCCAAGGCAAAGCGCAGGCTGGGTCAGCTTGCAAGCCAGCAACACCAAGAGCTCAAGAGGTGCCTTTCACACTCGCACAGTCAGAGCCGAGAGCGGTTATTAAGACGAGGCTGTCGCCCCGTGCACAGAAAGGCCCGTTTCACTTCTGAGTGCCTTTTGCGCTCAACAGTAATTAAGTGTACGCGGCTAACAAAATATAACCTGGCAGAAACAACACCAACAAAATACACGTACGGCCAAGTTATCCATACAGTAACAAGATTTTAAAAAAAGAAAACATCTATCAAGACCATTGATCGAAGGCAGCCCGGTAAACATGCAAAGCTCGGCCGACATTGGCATGTGGCTGCAACTGTTGGTCCAATGTTGGCTCAACGTTGGGTTGGACCAATGTTCCGTGTTTACTGGGACCAAGTCATTAATTCATCAACTTAAAAGCAACGCCGTTGAGAGGTTAATGGACCTGTAGACATTGATTCAGAACATCGGGTTGCTGTTCCAAAAATCAGTTGCCCATCTCCGCAACAAGCCACACGAAAGAAGAAGTCATCTGTAAGAAATTGCTTCGCGGACCTTTTTAGATGCCGTTTGTTAAACTTTACAAAGTCACTTACGAACCGCTGGTCTGAAATTGGACGCCGCCACCACCAGCACCTCTGGTTTTAATTACCGCTGTGAGAAAGAGGGGGGAGGAAGAGACTCAGAAATTCCAGCTGCCCGTGGAAGCTGCTTAGTGCCTGTGGCTGAGTGACAAGACACAGCCCTGCCAAGGCTTCCCACCCAACCCGAAAGCCGCTCTGAATCCTTTGCAATGTTTACATTTTCACCGGCGGCTCCTATTCCCCAGGCATCGTGCATCAATTCATTGGAGAAAAAAAAAGGTAAATAAACCGAAACAACAATCGCAACCAAATTTCCACTCCCACACAGCAGCCGTTTCAGCCAAGTTTATTTGATTTAGTGGCTTTCATTACTTGGATAAAAAAAAGGTATAGTACTTATAAAATTAGACACATGTTTAGATCCCAAGACTTATACAACATATACAAATTTTAAACTAAAATGTATGTCGTATATTTCATAAATAAAGTATGCCGATTTTAGCTATCAAACTGGGTCTTCTGAATTTCTCTTTATCATTTGATGGAGATGGTTGAACGCTGGGTTTGAGTCCGTGTCTCAGGCCATTTAGCTTTAAACTGGATTTTCAAGCAAAGCTATATCCTGGGACCTCCTTTGCTATTATCAAAATATAAGAATAGGTTTTACCCTTTCTAGTAATAAAACAGGTGTTATGATGTTGAAACATCTAACAGAAACCTTTTGCAAGGAATCATGTCCGCATTAACCACATATACTTGTGGTGAACATGCAACCCTATTCTTATATTTTGATAATGGCAAGGGAGGTCCCGTGATGTAGCTGCTCAACCCGAGCTCCCAATGTCCTGAGAGTGGCATTGTCTTTGTGACGTTCGCCTTTCGGCATCCTCTGGTTGAACACTGTTTGAGACGAGGCTCTAACGATAGCTGTCTCTGGTGTGGACCAATCAGTTTCGAAGACAATGTATAGAATATCAGAGCACAGTTTTTTTGTATGTTCACAAGTATATGTGGTTAATGCAGACATGATTCCTTGAAAAAGGTTTCAGTTTGGTGTTTTAACATCTTAAGACCTGTTTTATTTCCAGAAAGGGTAAACCTATTCTTACATGGTCTCAGCTATGTCACCAAAAAAATGTTCACGTAAAATCTGACAAAAAATTTAGTTATGGTAATTCAAATCATGAAAATGACAGTCTCATGTCAACTGTACAACACGACGCCAATAGCACAATTGGAATAAAAATGTGTAAAACTATTAAGGGGCCGTCCATAAATGACGTCACGCAACTAGGGGGGGAAGGGGGGGTCAGACATTTGTGACGATGTGTGATGAGGGATGAGGTTTTGAGAAATATGACGTCACATCAAAATGCGCAACTTTTAATAAATATAGACAACACGTTCTACTTAATTAAATACACTTTTTAATAAATGTTTTCTCCTACAACATCAGAGTGCAGCGCCGCATTAAATACGCACTACGATGACAATAGTCTAAAGCGATTTGAAGCATGTTTTTTTGTGGTGGGGGCAGAGCTTTGTGACGTCATATTTGAGGTGGGGGGGGTCTTCATTTTTGTGACGCCGTGTGACGAAGGAGGGGGGGGGGGGTCAAAAATCGTCCAAAACCGCGTGACGTCATTTATGGACGGCCCCTAAAACAAGTTTAAAAGCATCTAATTTGCCTTCCCCGCATTAAATGGTGGTCGTCAGCATTTGGGGTGCACGCACGCGGAGTTCGTTATACGACATTCCGACTCGGGGTGCAGTTCGGAAGCGAATCCATGCCCCTGCAGGCGGACGGTCACTCGCCGTGCTGTGCGGTGTGGCGTCACGCTCGATATTCTGTTGGTCAAATGCGCCGCTTTGTCTGACACAGCTCAACCGCAGGTCCTAAACAGGGCTCAAGCACCCAGCCGCAAAACCAATTGCGAATTGCAAGTTCCCCGCCTCTGCATGCGGAAACTGCAGCCTAGAAAGCGGCGTGTTGGTTCTTCTGTGCCTATTGTGGTACAATCAAGCGAGCGTGGGCAATCAGGGTCAAGCTGACCCCATTTCAGGTTTACGTGGGATGCTATTTTGACACTTGGGATTGTGTTTCACTTCGCCCGAATAGGCTGCGCAGAGGGGCTCTCTCCAAACAAATGAGTGGCGTGCTCACTCGCAATTCATTGTGTCCGTGCATCGATTCCGGAATCGATTTTGTTTTTTTCTCCTTAAGTCTCAAATATTGTGTTCTTTAGGTTACACCGTGGTAATTTCCTCGCGACTGCACGTGTCAAAGTAACTGATTACATGCAACATATGCACATTTAAAATGCTTTATTTTATCGTGGCCGAGTTGCTCGGAAGTCAGAGGGCCGATATGGCACTGCCAAGATCCAGGGTTCCAATCTGGCAGTATTAATTGGGTCAGCATTTCAGTTATTTTAGCCATAAGTCGGGTTAATGACAACCTGTGGAAGCTGAGCCTAGTCTTAATCTGTGGATTTCATTTATAAACTCACATTACAGCTAAAACATGTTTATTTTAAATCTTGACTTAAAGCTTTCGTGACTGCAGGAATTCATATTATTGGGTCTTTAGGAAAAGTAACGTAGATGTAATTGTCTTTGAACCTATCTACGTGACTTTATCGAAAGACCCAAGAATATGTTTATTTTAATGACAAAATATATTCAACGGACTAAGACTTGACTAGAATTCCATATGTTCTCGTCAAATACACTAAGATTAAGGTGACTAATGTACTGACTAAGTTAGGATTAAAATATTAACAGTTGCCTGTGATTAAACCAATCTGTCAAGTGTGGCAAGTTGATTGTCTCACATTAATATTTACACAATCAAACCAAAAAAAAACTTCTATTATGGATAAGTTGGCCCCGAAAGCCTGCGTTCGTTAAACTAACGGTCTCAGCCCGTGTGACAATTTTGCAAAAGATAGTCATCTCATATTTAATTCGTATGTTTTTTTTAAATATCGGTTTGACCCATCATGTGGAAAACACCAATCACAGAGCAGATGGTGTGGAAAAGTTATTCCCCGAGCATGTACTTACGTGAGTTGAACGTATTTCACACCGTACGTAGTCAACCGTGCTAATCGGAGGTGCGGAGATGTCGGGGAAGGACATCAAACCAAACACAAAAAGCAGTGGATGAGCAGGCTACTTGGAGGGTTTGTTAGAAAGAGTTTTGTGAGTATATCTGGTGCAGCTGTTCTCATACACATGAGTTCACAATGCTGTGCACTTTTTTTTCTCCAAATATATTCTACATCTCATGACACGAAGCAAATATTGCACCAAATCTGGCTGTCGCCTCATGAAGCTAGTTGTAATTACTGGCAAAACGTCGTACTCAGATTGTAAATGTTGTGGCTTTGCTCTCCAACACACCGGTGTGCTGTATTAGTGACGAATTGGCATGTTCTGTTTACGTGACAACCCTTACTAATTGGCTGTGTTGGGTGGTGGCGGTTTTAACGACACATTTATATATTTACGCGATCTAACCCAAAAAAATCTCCATTATGGATTGCAACATGAATAACAAAATCCAAAAAAGACCAACAAATGTATACATATTTTTTACGTAGATTCTTACACGTGAACTTCAAAGCATGCATCTGTGACCTTAAAAACTGATGTTAATCGATTAATGGATGAATCATCTCACTCCTAGAGGTCACCTCTGCATTGCAACTGAAGGCTGCAGCAACATCTGCATTCAGGAACAGACGACACTGTCGCCTGACTGCG